TTCTCGGACTGCTCTGATTACTTGATTGTCAGCCTGCTGGGCCCCTGATACCCTTTTCATCTCCTGAAAAAAGCACCGGTTCCGGGGTTTTCCCTGGCAAAAGCACTTAGCAAGGCCTTCAGCCGTTTCGAGATGTCACTGATACGTAATGAATTTCATTACCTCATTTTCAACGTTGCCATTTCTATAGCACGATTAGGTATTTCACCGCTTAAGGACCAGCTAATGGAAGACATTTTTGCGTTCATTGGGATCTAGGGAGAAGGTGGGAGGGGGCGTCTTCCCTGCAGTGGCACAAGCACCAGTGCTGTAATCGGGTCTAAAGCTAAAACTAAAGTGAACTAAAGCCTAAAGTAACTCTAAGTAGTAGTGTTACAACTTTGTTCCTAGTTTCTGCATAGTTCCGGGAAGGGAAATCTCTTCCTCTCCCATATCGACTCCCCTCCCCCCTTTTCGCTAGGAGTCCGCCTTGGTTCTGCCTATGAAAGCAGGGAGTAATTCTTCCACTAGCCTGTGCGTGACCGCACTCAGTCAACATTGCTAGGGTACACGATTCAGGGACCTGAGGCATCACTGATATGTTGCTTCTGAATAGTCGTGATTCAGATGCGTTAATGTTTTAAAGAGCTGGTTTTGCAGACGCTTCCTGAAAGGAGCTCAGTTTACGGAACATGCAAAAGCGAAGGGCAAAATTGTGTTTATCACTGGAGCAAGTGCTGGAATTGGGAAGCAGACAGCCAGGGAGCTGAATCTCCGGGGGGCTACCGTTTACATGCTTTGCAGAAATCGGGAGCGCGCTCAGAATGCCAAGATTGAGCTCACCAGGGTGAGAAAATGCTTTATGATGGATTTTGCAACATATGGCTGTAGCTACTTGAGATTCTTTGATGTACAAGATTCTCATCGGTGATAATGAAGTAATGTGTAGGAATTGGATCGGCGACAAACCTAAAGGTAACAGGGGTGTCCTGCATTTTATTTGATGAAAGCGCCATGCGTGCCAGGAAATATTTGCGGTGGGTGCAAAAATTAGTCAAACGAATGTAAAATTCTACTGAAGAAGCGCATGTCCGGCTGAATAGGTACTAAAACTGGCCAGAACGACATTCCAGTTTGTTAAAATTATCGCGGCCTTAATTGTGTTTTATTTAGACTAGTGTGTACCCCGTGGGTAGATGCATGTGTGTATGTG